TGGCTTAGGGCTAAAACAAGTTGTTTTTAGTCAGTTTTTAGAGGGAAGCATCTATTTAGTGACTAAATTTCAAAATAGTTCACATTTACTAAATTACCATACATTCATTATTTTTGACAACATTCATTAACCTCTTTTTTAATGACTCCAAAAATTCTCAGTGTGATCATTGGTCCACAGTTTTCAATGATTCAGGCAAGTTTGTACAGAAGAAATAATTGTAGCAGAGAAGTTGAAAGTAAAGCTTACTTCCAGTGTTTGGGCAAAACGCTCCTTCCTAGACCACAGCACAATCTCTTATTGTTCCTTTCTTGCTAACTTGTCCCCCAACTAGTTAGTGCTATTTGTGGTATATATTAATATATACAGGCTTCCCTCACGGCTCAGACAGTAAAGAACCCACCTGCAGTGTGAGAGACCTGGGTTTATTCCCTGGGTTGGAACAATTCCCTGGAGAAGGAAATGGCAACCCACTCCAGTATTCTTGCCTGGAGAATCCCCACGGACCGAGGAGCCTAGCAGGCTACAGTCCATGTGGTTGCAGAGTCAGACATGACTGAGCGACTAAGCACAGTACAGCATTAATATACAGTAATGGAATATTACTCAGCCAGAAAGAAAGAAAGAAATGTTGCCATTTGCAACAAAATGGATGGACTTGGAAAGCATCATGATAACTGAATTAAGTCAGACCAAAAAAGACAAATACTGTATGATACCACTTATATGTGGAATCTAAAAACCACAACAAACTAGTAAACAAAAAGAAAGGAAGCAGGCTCACAGATAATGAGAACAAATTAGTGGTTACTTATGGGGATAGGGAACCGAAGAGGAGCAATGTAGGGCTGGGGGGAAAGTTATTGTAGGATTACATGAAATCACGTGTGTGAGACTTGAAAATTATAAAGCACTCTAGAATTTAAAGAATCTTTCATTCAGGAAAAAAAAAAATTAAAAACCACATCTCACTCCTTAGTGCTTTCCACTGTCTAGAACTTCAATGGCCTCCCATGCTTCATGGATTGGAAATGGAGCCCCTTACGGCTATTAACTCACTCTCCATTCCACAATCCAGCCCTTGTTGGGGTCTCCCATCCCCGCTCAGGCTCCCTTTCTGAACTTCCCTCTGATCCCTGAATACGGTTCACTTTCTCACTTCTGAACTCGGTACGTACAGTTCCCACACACCGAACACTGTCTCCTCTTTATCACCGCCTCCTCATCTCTACCCACCAGCTATTTACCCTTCAGGAACCAGCTCAAATGTCTCTCTGCTAAAGCTTTTCCCAAGCCTCCAATTAGACAGAAACCTTCCCTTCCCGCACTAAAGCACAGGCTGACCTTAGAGATATTACAGGTTCTTATCCAGACCATCCCAATAAAACGAAATTGCAATAAAGCGAATCATGAATTTTTTGGTTTCCCAAGTGCATATAAAAGTTATGTTTATACTATAACGCAGTCTATTAAGTATGCAATAGTATTTTGTCTGAAAACATAATGTACCTGCCTTAATGTAAAAATTTATTATTGTTAAAATGGCTACCTACCACCTTAGCCTTCAGTGAGTTATAACCTTTTTGCAAAAGTAATGTCAAAGATTGCTGATCACAGATCACCATAACAAATACATTAATAATGAAAAAATTTGAAATGTCATGAGAATTAATAGAATCTGACACAGAGACAGAAAGTGATTAAATGCCATTGGAAAAATGGACTTGCTTGATGCAAGATTGCCAAAAACATTCAACTTGTCAAAAAAAGCGCAATATTGGCTAAGCACAATAAAGTGAAACACAATAAAATCAGGTCTGCCTGTACAGTTCTAGAGCAACTTGTTCTCATTCTTACACTCATTACAGTTGACTACAATAGTATGTTTAATGTCTATAAATTCTGAAAGATTGAGAATCAATTCTGTGTTGTTGAACTCTATGCCCTTCATTTCCCAGTGTCTGATATCCAATAGATAGCTGATGAATCTTTATTGAATAAGAATGAATGAATGCATAAAAGCAAGATATTTCAAGGTTAATTATTAAAGTAGAAAAGGTTATTTTGAAGTCAGAGAATTAACACCCAATAATTTAACTATGACTCTTATTTGTTATATCTTACACATTTCCATTGTTTACAGGCAAAATTCTGTCAGTACGTAATTGTCCCCTTCTCTAAAAAATCTTTTGTTTTCTTGGATATGTTTTCTTGTTTGCCATGAAGCATTTGTAAGATGGCTGGAGCATATGTAGTATGTACATTTCATCATGAAGAAACTGATGTTCAGGCAGTTTAAGGGATTTTTTTCTAAGTCTCAGAAAACCCTGATCTTTTTGGACTGCAACTCTTGTGTTCTTATACCTACAGGATATTTCCTTAGACAGTGGTCATTTTAATTTTTTATTCTTGCATGCTAATAAAAAAGAGAAGTGGACTCAGGAGACCAAAATGCTAATGCCAACCCTGCTATGTGCTTGACCATTTAATGCATCCTTGTAGGCATCCTTTTCATCTATGAAGTAGAGAAGTTGGATTCATGATCTTGAAGATGTCTCCTATATTGCTGTGAATGGCAGGGAAATAAAAACTCAAGGTAAAATTCAAATTCAAAGAAACTATAGTGTCAGTGTCTTGTCAGAGATGCACACAATAATTGTCCATTTATATAAAAATGCAATAAAATCAGACTATAATAAATATTGAAGGAGATAGATATTGAAGGAATAAAGATTGAAGGAGATATTGAAGTGATTGGCTAAATCACTTTAATGGGTTTCCTCTCGACAAGAAAATTCCCTTTATCCTGCACGGAAAATGAAAGAAAAATAGTATCAAAGGCAGCTTAGAAGTTGAAAAACAAATGTATTTATTCCTTCATTCAAAAGAAAAAATATCCACTGAGCATTTTCTATGCACCAGGCACTGTTCCAGGCCCTGAGAGCAGCATGCATGTTCAGGCTAGAAGATCCAGGCTGGGGGATGGGGAACAGTCAGTGTCACCATTGTGGGCCCAGCACCAGGAGACAATACCCTGTTAACATTTGCTAAAAGGAGAGAAAAGGAAGGAAGGGGAAGCATTCTGCTCAGAAGAACCCACACAAGGGCTTCTCTGTTGGCTCAGAGGCAGAAAATGCAGGAGACATGGGTTCAGTCCCTTATCCAGGAAGATTCCACATGCCATGGAGCAACTTGGCCCGTGTACCGCAACTATTGAGCCTCTGCCCTAGAACCTGGAGCCACAGCTACTGCGCCCACATGCCGCAGCTACTGAAGCCTGTGTTCCCTAGAGCCTGTGCTCTGGAACAAGAGAACCAGACCACTCAAGCACCACAACCAGAGAGTAGCTTCCGCCCTCTGCAAGCAGAGAAAAGCCCGCGCAACAATGAAGATCCAGCACAGCCCAAAGGTAGTAAAAATAAACAAATAAATAACTATTTAAAAACAAACCAAAAAGAAGAACCCACACAGAACACTTCTGAACAGATTCCTGGTGCAAAAGAGGCCCCCCGCCCCCTTTCTTTTCCACCAATAAGCTATATCCTTGAATGCCTGCTTGCTAGGCAGAGAAAATCTCTATTTCAAGTCACAGTCTGGGATTTATGTGTAGTAAAGATGGCTCTGCTCCCAGGAGCTTTGGGCATATTTAAAAATCTTGTGACTGGAAAAAGAACATTAGGAACAAGCTGACTGAAAAACACTTGGCTTTTCCATATTAAGGTTTCTGTCCTCTTTGCCTCTTACTCAGTAAACTACAGAGAGGAAGACAGTGCTTTGTTCTCTTACATTCATTCTGTACATTTCTACCTAGGAAGAATTTATTTTTATTTATGAGTTTATGAATTTTATGAATGCATACGTGTGAGAGTGAACACTGAGCATAAGGTAAAAATCAGAACAGATGCTAAATGTAATTTCTTTGATTTTGAGGTTTTGCTGGTTCTGATTAGCTAAAAGGAAGATATAATTTTCACATTCATGTCTATTTCAGATCCTTTAAATTATTGCAATAAACATAAGTAACCAAAACAAAAAATATAATTTCCCCCGAAATGAGTATATAATAGAACATATCACATATTTTCGTTTCAGATCCTTTAAATTCCACACATTATCACTGCCTTCATCCAGCAATCATTTGGGCTGATTTTCCTTGACCTTGAAAAACTCACCCTTCACAACTGTTGCTTTTTCTCTACCAATATTCCTTCAATATTAGTGGTAATAGTCTTGAGACTTTTAAACTAGACATTATCAACCCAAAAGGAATTGTTTTTTAAGAATTTTACAGGTACCTTTATCATTAAAAAAGTTTAGGCCACAGTTCTCTGCCTTGCCTTCTCTAATCCGGCATAAAAGGTTACATCTTACTAGGAAATAGTTGTAGTTTTGTTAATTTGATTTCCTTTATCTTATAATTTCTATGTTTATATAGTATTGAAGAAAAAACTACATGCATTCTTCTTAATAGGAGGTCAATATTATACCTTCAGAACTTCTTCTAAGTTAAAACTTTAATTCCAAGCTAATCTTGAATTATTAGAAATGTTATTAAATATTTCACATACTTGCTAACACAGCACATGTATATTTCAGATCCTTTCAACAGGGGTTGAAATTTCTAATTAGTCCTGATCAGGCACAATTCTTCCTAAAATAAACTACAAAATTGAAGTTTGTTCCTGAAAAAAATAATCATGAAACCCAGAAAGTAAATATGAATTCTATATTTCTATTTTTGTCATAACTTGAATTTCTAATTTTAATTTAAACGCACATTCCCTGACCAAGACTAATATTTTCAGTTGTCTCTCCCTTCAACACGTACACCAGTGTAAATGTTCATCTCCTGTTGAAATAAACGAGGTTAAACCTATGTTTGGTTTGAATATTTTCCTCATTCACAAGGGCAGTTCATTCTCACTAAAGTGCGTTCCGTGAATTCCTAATTTACATTCTTCAGTGACCTGGCAAAGAGCTGCCTCAGGGGCAGTACAAACCTTTATTGGTCACTTCCCAAGAGACTTCAAAGAGCAGTAAATTCTCCACAGGAAGTCCGGCTTCCCACCGAGGCAGCCCACCTAGGGATGTCACAGATAGCGATCGACCTCGAAGCATTCTTCCTTCAGTTCTCAGGCACTTCTGGTCTCTCTCTCGGAGAACTGTTATCCTAGGAGTGATGCGTGTTAGGGACGCAGAGGTTCAGAGCTGGGAGATGGCAGACTTTGGTAGCTTCTCACATGAAGTAAACCAGCAGAAATAAATCTCAAGGGCTTCCCAGAGAATTCCCGAAGGAAGGCGGAATTCTCAGCTCCTTTTACACTCTTTCTGGGGGAGGTCCAGTGAGGACACTATCTCTGATCAATATCTACCCAAACAACCCAGAGCAATCACAAGCAAAACCCACCAGTTTAGGGCTTAGGTAAACACTCTTAGGATAACGGAATCTTTACAGGCTCATCGTGACGTTAGCACGGACCTTTAACCCTTGTCCTCTAGAACAAACTCCTAGACTCACAGAGTCACTGGAACTTATTTCATCACCCCCAAAGTGATCCAGGAATAGCAATTCCACTTGTAAAGTATGCGGATCATTGTAGGTTACATGTAGAATTGACTAGGACGTGTTTCTAAGCTTTAAATCTCTTTAGATTTCCTAAGTGTTATTTTTTCTTCTGATTCCGATTTTTAGGTCAATAAGAACATTTTTTCTAATTGTTTTATTCCACATTGACAAACTGAATTTTGATGATAAACGTTGATCTTGGTTCCCCTTTCCTTGATTACTTTTCTTAAAAATTTCCTTATGAAAAAGTATAAATACCAGGATGTCTTTAGGTATAATATACAAAGAATGTAATTTTGATCAATGATCACCAGATCATTTTAAGGAGAAATCATTTAATGAGAAATTAATTTCAGTCAATTTACCTCAAATATTATAGAGAATAATTCAATGGATGGGAAAGATTGGAATAAATATAAACAAAATTCTTACAATGGTTTTCTTTAGGTGGTAGTGATGATGATTAATATTTAGGTGATCTTTTCTGTTCACTGTTATCCTACAAATTTTCTGCAATAAACACTTGTGCATATAGTCATACCATACACAGAATAAGCATAGAATTTTTGAAAGTACAATCAGATCACCTCCTAATTATTTCACTCTCACTCTCATTACTTTGGATTTTTGAAATTCCTGGCTGTTGGCTTTCACCTGGGGCTTTGCCTCAAATACCAACACTCTCAACAACCCTTCATTTCCTAACAATCCCTCAAAGTATACTAACCCTCGTAAATACTAACCCAAAGTAATATAACCCTTGAACCTATTATTCCTGACACCAGGACACACTTTGTCAATTCTTTGCTTTTTAGCAGTGAATGTCTTTTTCAAAATTGCTCCCTGAGTCAACAGAGGTGAAATAAATGAACCATATTTTCCCACGGAGGCAGCCCACATAGGGATGTCACAGATAGCAATTGACGTTGAAGCATTCTTCCTTCAGTTCTCCGGAACTTTTGGTCCCTCTTTTGGTGAACTGTAATCCTAGGAGTGGTGCGTGTTAGGGACACAGAGGTTCAGAGCTGGGAGATCACAGGCTTTGGTAGATTCTCATATGAGGTAAACCAGCAGAAATAAATCTCATGGACTTCGCAGAGAATTCCAAATGTAAGGCAGAATTCTCAGCTCCTTTTACACTCTTTCAGGAAAAAGAAATATATATTTTCCATGGAAATATGTCCATGGAAAATACCTTTATCAATCCACATTTATCTGGATGAATTTGCTTTCCTTCAGATATATATGAAAAGAATGAAGTCATTTATGCAATAAGATTTAGAGGAGAATCAGAGAAAGTTCTCTGTTTCCTATATTCATGAATACTCTCCTTTAAGGTTTGTGCTAAAAGGACAAACTGATTAATTGGGAGCCAAAAGAGAACAGATATCTAGACAGAAAGGGAGGTGGGATTTCTCCAAGACGGGAGAAAAACTCAACAGTTCCTGAGCTCTAATTTTACATTCACACCAACATTTTATCATTCAGTAAAAAGAGGTGATATACACCTTAATATCTAAAAACCAAACAGCCCCATCAAAAAAATGGGTGGAAGACCTAAACAGACATTTCTCCAAAGAAGATATGCAGACAGCCAACAGGTACATGAAAGGATGTGTATGTATGCTAAGTCGCTTCAGTCATGTCCGACTCATTGCCATCCCATGGACTGTAGCCCACCAGGCTTCCCATCCACGGGCTTATCCAGGCAAGAATACTGGAGGGGGTTGCCACGCCCTCCTCCAGAGGATCCTCCCCTCACAGGGATTGAACCCGTGTCTCCTGTGGCTCCTCTTCTGCAGGTGGATTCTCTACTGCTGAGCCACTGGGGAAGCCCTGCGTGAAGGGATGCTCAGCCACTAATTACTGGAGAAATGCAAATCAGGGCCACAAAGAGGTATCATCTCACACCAGTCAGAATGTCCATCATTAAAAAGTCTACAAATAGATGTTGGAGAGGGTGTGGGAAAAAAGGCAACACTCCCACACTGTTGGTGGGAATGTACATTTGCACAGCCTCTATGCAGAACAGTATGGAGATTCCTTAAAAAGCTAAAAATTGTTACCACAATCCTGTAATTCTACTCCTGGGCATATATCCGGAGAAAACTCTGATTCAAAAAAGATAACATGAATCACTTTGCTGTTCTCCTGAAACTAATGCAACATTGTAAACGAACTATTCTTCACGGATTTCCCTGGTGGTCAATACTCTATGCTTCCACTGCAGGGGGATGGGATTTGATCCCTGGTCAGGGAAGTAAGGGCTTTCCTGGTGGCTCAGTGATAAAGAATCCGTCTGCCAATGCAGGGGACATGTGTTCAATCCCTGGGTAGGGAAGAACCCCTGGAGAAGGAAATGGCAACCCACTTCAGTATTCCTGCCTGGGAAATCCCACAGAGCCAGGAGCCTGGTGGTGTACAGTCTATGGGGTCACAAAAGAGTCAGACACAACTTAGTAACTAAACACCACCAGGGAAGTGAGATCTTGTAGCTACATGTAAGGTGGCCAAAAAAAATCCACAAAAAAAACTATACATTCAATTAAAGAGAGTTTAAACAAATAAGAACTCTGAACAGTGAGGCTCAGGTGGGCTTCCACAGTGACAATATTCCATGTGTTGCACGCAGATCCCAGGAAAAGAGCAAGTACAAGATTCCATGGGGAGAGGACAATGGGAGCTCCATATTTGTTAATAATACTTTTCCTAGATTCTGCCTTATGCTGCTCTTCTCTTGGTTGATTTTAATCTCTGGGTTTTCCCTGTAATAAACCATAACTGTGAGAATAACCAAAAAGAGAGAGGTGAGAGGGAAATTGAGAGGGAAAAAAAAAGGATTCCTAGATGGTTTCCTTGGTAAGTATTCCAGTAGGGGTCACTAGATACATTTAGAAAACCACGCATTTGCTTTGCAAGTTTGCAATCTTCTTGGAAGTCTTTAGGATTTCCAAGGCTTGATTAGCCCTCACCTGCATATCCAGAAGGATTCTATTAACACATATATGGAGCACCTACTGTGTACTACTATTGTAGGAGCTGAAGGTATTTTCTATAAACGGTAGACAAGTCTCTACCTCTGTGTGAGTAGATAGACATTAATCATGTAAGCCAAAGTTTCCAAAGAAGAAAAACCACAATGGTAGAGGGTGCCAATTGATAGAAATGGGTGCTTCAGCTCGAGAGGGCAAGGAAGATGACTCTGAGGAAGTATTACATGAATTGAGACACAGAAAATGAAAAGAGGCTACACTTGAAGATGGGGGAGAAGAGAAAGTAATACCTTTAAGTCACACAGCAACAGAAAGGCCAATGTGCTTGGGGCCCAGAGCAAAATGAATAAGTCTGGAGGGGAAAAAGAGACAAAAGCAGAGAACAAATAAAAGAAATGCTGTTTGAGAACTTGCATTTTATTTTGGTTGACTTGGAAAATCATTGACTGATTTTATGCAGGGTAGCAATGTGATCTTATTTATGCTCTGAAAAGATTTCTCAGTTTTCTCTATAAAAAAGAAAAAAAAAAAAGGAATATAAAGAAGGGCAAGAGAAGAGGCTTGGAATCTGAGGTTAATGAAGCTTTTCTATCAGTAACAGATTCTAGAACGTAGTACTTAACCCCTTCCATAGATAATCTCCTGTTTTCTTCTCAAAAAGATATTAACATTTGATCTTTTCCTTCCTAAAGTATAGAGAGTGACTTTCCAAGCTGGCAGCTCTCTATAGTTCACTTCTACACTCTCACTTGTTCATGTCTGTAGCTTATTACGCATGGGCTGCTGCTGTCACTACAGAAATAAGATTAAAATAGAGAATTAAATGCAATGTCTCAGGGACTGTGACCAGAATCCTTGACTTCATGAAGTTTACATTCTAGCAGGGAAAGTCAGTATGAAACAAGTAATTAAAGGACTTTGAAAGTGATGAATTAAATACAGGTAACAGTAGAATTAACACAACTAGATATTGAGAATGATCTCCCAAGAAAGAGAAACAGAAGGAAATCAGAAAAGAAGTAAAACTGTCACTATTTGAGGATGGCATGATATTATATATAGAAAACCTAAAAACTCCACCAAAAATATGTTAGCGCTAATAAATGAATTCAGTAAAGCTGAAGGATAAAAAATCAATACCAAAATCTGTTGCATTTCTATATACTAATAACAAACTGTGAGAAAGAGAAGTTAAGAAAACAATTCCAATTATAATTACATCAGAAAGGGACTTTCCTGGTGGTCCAGTGGTTTAGAATCCACCTTCCAATGCAGGGCACCTGGGTTCAATTCATGGTCAGGGAACTAGGATCCCACAGGCCATAGAGCAACTTAGCCCATGTAGTGCAACTACTGAGATTGCATACTCTGGAGCCCGTGTGCTACAGCTAGAGAGCCAGAGTGCCACAACTAAGGCCCAACACAGACAAATAAATAAATACATAAATATTTTTTTAAAAGACGGTTGCTTCAGAAAGAATAAAATCCAGAAATAAATTTATGACAAAGGAACCAAGAATAAACAATGGGCATAGGATGGTCTTAATAAACCGTGTTGA